CCTGCTTTGCCATCTAACCAGGGAATCCATTATCTTCTTTCATACTCGCTACATTAATATCACTTGAGCTGCTGTGAAATTGAATTAGCCAATCTTTTAACAGCAGCAGCCTTATTTTCACATCCCGGGCATCTTGGAATGAGTTTATAGCATTCAGAGCACACCGAAGACTATATAAACCATGAATAAAGCCAAATGAGCATATAAATGAATAATATGAAAACACACACACACACATATTTGATTCACTGTAAGTGATAGCTTGGTTAGAGCCAAAAGGATAAACAGCAACCAGAGTCCTGACATGATAAAGGACAGGTTCCATGACAAGCATTAGATGAGCAACTTAAGAATGGATAATGCTGCTTAATGCACCACCACACACAATGTGACTGCCTTTGTTGTAATTAATTGGATAGGACAAACAGTGCAGAGACAAAAACTGGGCCTGGCCAATGTCACCTGGCCTCCTACACTCCTCCATGTTTTATCCCCAGGCTCAGTCTCACTAAGAAGTCTCAACAGGGGCCCTAATGTGGTCTGACGCTGGTATCAAGGCTCGGTGGCCCCCTCCTACAAGACACTCACTCAGAGACAGCAGTCTAATGAGCCAGGAGGCATGTATATGTTTTTAGCTTTTGCAAACATGTCACAACTTGCATGGATTTAATGAGTGGTTATAAGTGATTCTCAAACACTTACAAAGTTATGTGTATTTGGTTCTTCTTACCATTGCTAACTCTAAGAGACGAGACAGTCCAAGTAACTTCAAAACAGTGCTGATTTATTCAAAGGATCACAGGTAAAATTAACATTACACGCTCAGGTATCTTGCACCTCCAAACTGCACGCAGGCAGATGTAAGATGAAAGACCCTGAACCCACCAGGCCTATACATTATATCCCCTTGGTTGGGCTAGCCCCATACTACACAGAAATGTCAACCGAGACGTCTCTCTTACCAGCTTTGCAGCTGGCCATAGCAGTAGTCAAAACATGAAGCAAATCAATGTGCGTGTGTATCTGTTGATTAATAGGTTCTTTGTGAATGTTGGTCCTGGTTTAGCAAGAAGCATTTGTACAGATGATACATCCGTCATTATAAAGAATAATACAATCGAAAGGAACATGAGTTCTATGTTTTTGAAGCCCATAGTTGAAAAGGAAATTATAGAGATAGTGAATAAATGTGGTAACAAAACATCTAGTGATAGTGATGGTATCACTATGACAACTGTTAAATGGGTAATTGAGGGGATATGCAAACCATTAACCCATATTTTTAACATGTCGTTTCGACTTGGGCAGTTCCCCAATAATATGAAAATAGCAAAGGTTATTCCACTGTATAAATCTGGTGATAAGCACAACTTCACAAATTATAGACCGGTTTCTCTGTTGTCACAATTGTCAAAAATTCTGGAAAAACTCTTTAATAACAGATTAGATACATTTATTGACAAACATAAAATCCTCTCTGATTGCCAATACGGTTTTAGGTCGAACCGATCAACATCTTTGGCCATTACCGACCTGATAGAGGACATTACAAGT